GAAATAGGTTTGCATTGTGTCCATCCGTCCTTCCGTCTTTCTGTCTTTCCCTCCTTCCGCTATCTTGTCCGGAATCTATTTCCTACACTACTAGTCACTGGAACTTCATACTTGGTGTATGGGTTCACCTTGGTGAGGCGGTGTGTCATGTATCAAGAGTAGGTCACTCTGACTTACATTTTGACCTTTGACCTACATCAAAGAAAAAGTTGTCTGGGCTCTATCTCCTACACTTCTAGTCACTGGAACTTCATACTTGGTGTATGGGTTCACCTTGGTGAGGCGGTGTGTTATGTATCAAAAGTAGGTCATTCTGACCTAAATTTTGACCTTTGACCTACATCAAAGAAAAAGTTGTCTGGGCTCTATCTCCTACACTACTAGTCACTGGAACTTCATACTTGGTGTACGGGCTCACCTTGGTGAGACGGTGTGTCATTTATCAAAGGTAGGTCACTCTGACCTACATTTTGACCTTAAACCTATATCAAAGAAAAAGTTTTCCCGGACTCTGTCTCCTATACTACTAGTCACTGAAAGTTCATGCTTGGAGTATGGGTTCATCTTGGTGAGGCGATGTGTCGTTTATCAAAGTAGGTCACTGTTTTTGACCTTTGACCTGATCGAAGAAAAACTTTGTCCGGACTCTATCTCCTACACTACTACTTAATTACGAATTTATCATCTGTGCATTCTTGTTATATTATTTTACATCCGGTGGGGGACTGTAATTTGCTGAATTGTCTTGTTAGATTAAGTTTGATGTCCCCCTTTCTGATTTATAAATTTTGTCTGACTTACAGCTACTTGCTTCTATTTATGAATATTGGTTCTCATGATTAGTATCTTAGGTTATTGTTTGATTATGATTTATTTTCATTTTAAATACTTCTATGGTTTTATGTCCCTTTTCTGATTTTTATACACCTGTCAAAATTTTCACAGGACAAAGATTAAGGTCAAACTGAGATCAAGTATATCAGCTTCTGGCTGAAAATAACTTGATAAAACTTAGAGATACATTGTATATGTAGGATTAAAAGGCAGTGTGGCATACTATTTTGGGGTATGTAAGATTAATGACATATTTATTTCTTAAGCTTGTGCCCTCCTTCATAACATCCAGGAAATAATTCAACTTTACTGAGCAATACACTATACAAATGTAGTTTCTTCTCTCAAACGGATTCTAAATAACTTACTTTATCATTTAAGGTGTCTACATGTATATGCTTCATGTCATTAGGAGTGGGGAGTAACAGTTAGCTAGGATCTTACAGTCCTAATAGTCTTTACACATTTTAAGAATGTTATAAAACTGTATTCTTCCAGATATCCAAGAATTAATCGAGAGTCTCTCTCACCAATACCCACCAACTGTAGCCATGATGATAATGAGGGGTAAGTACCATCACCCCCAATTCCCACCACCTGTAGCAACGATGATAATGAGGAGTAAGTACCATCACCCCCAATCCCCACCAACTGTAGCCACGATGATAATGAGTGGTAAGTACCATCACCCCCAATACCCACCACCTGCAGCAACGATGATAATGCGGAGTAAGTACCATCCCCCCCAATACCCCCCACCTGTAGCCACGATGATAATGAGTGGTAAGTACCATCACCCCCAATACCCACCACCTGTAGCAACGATGATAATGCGGAGTAAGTACCATCACCCCCAATACCCACCACCTGTAGCAATGATGATAATGAGGGGTAAGTACCATCACCCCCAATACCCACCACCTGTAGCCA